AACATCCAAGTTTTCCCTAGCATTGCACCCTAGTAGTTCCAAGGGCACAATCGGTATACTATAGATTTACTCAGTATATTTCCTTGTGAAAAACTGGGATTTGTAGTTTGTGGATAAATGCTAGCACTCTCTCCAGCGGAGAGTTCCAACTATCCTCCACACTTTTCAGCAGAGAAGTCCTTGGGAAACTACAATACCTAAGTTTTCCCTAGCATTGCACCATAGCAGTTCCAAGGGTACAATCGCTATACGCTATACTATAGATTTACCCAGAATATTTCCATGTGAAAATTTGGGATTTGTAGTATGCACAGAAAAACTATAATTCTCTCTGGCAGAGAGTTCCAAGGATCCTCCGCACTTTTCTGCAGAGAAGTCCTTTGGAAACTACAACACCCAAGTTTTCCCTAGCATTGCACCATAGTAGTTCCAAGAGTACAATCGCTATACTATAGATTTTCTCAGTATATTTCCTTGTGAAAATCTGGGATTTGTAGTTTGTGGAGAAATGCTATTACTCCCTCCGGCGGAGAGTTCCAAATATCCTCCGCACTTTTCAGCAGAGAAGTCCTTGGGAAACTACAACACCCAAGTTTCCCCTAGCATTGCACCATAGCAGTTCCAAGGGTACAATCGCTATACTATAGATTTACCCAGAATATTTCCATGTGAAAATTTGGGATTTGTAGTATGTGGAGAAAAACTAGAATTCTCTCTGGCGGAGAGTTCCAAACATCCTCTGCATTTGCAGATTTTGATTAATATGGTCTCGCTTAGGAATCATTTCTAGGTATTTCACCTAGTAAATTGTGGGAATTGCAGTTTGACAAGGGTTTAAGTCTTCTCTGCCCAAACTACAACTCCCAGTGTCCCAATACATTGAGCATGGCAGTTAAAACAGGTAGATGCACCCCAAATCAATTGCATTGCAGGGCTTTCTAGGGAGATGTAGTCCTCCGAGGCCTCCAAATGCTCCAAACTAAAAGCCAGGCCAAGCCAGAGCAAGCCTTCCCCTTTAAGAACCGATGGGCTTTGGGCCTGGACAAAGACCCACACCTGGATAAAAGGCAGGACTCCCCCAGCGTCCTCTGTTCTGGGACTCGGGTGCAAATTCTGCCTCCTTGTTGAGCATCTCCTGGGCTTTTCTGTGGCATTTCGGGAGGGGAAACCTTTGGCCTCAATGGGGGCCGTCCTGAATCGGCTCCAGCTACGGGGAGAGAAAGGTAAACGGGTTTCCTAAGCATGCGCAGAGTTCCTTTGGTAGCATTTGCTTTGGGGGGAACTACAACTCCCAGAGTTTGCTCAACCAATTTTGTACATTTTTTTTAATTGCATTGCATTTGGTAAAGTCTGTTTTAGAAAAGAAGTGGAATCCTTTGAAAGTGGTTGTTTTGCTCCTGTAACTTCGGCCCTCCAGGTGTTTTGGACTCCAACTCCCACCATTCCTAACAGCCTACCAAGGTACCATTCAAGGTGCAGAGTCTGCTCCATGCAAGGGTCAACTTGGGCCCTTCCTCCAGGTGTTTTGGACTCCAACTCCCACTATTCCTAACAGCCTACCAAGGTGCCATTCAAGGTGCAGAATCTGCGCCACGCCTGGGCCAACTTGGGCTCTCCTTCCAGGTGTTTTGGACTCCAACTCCCACAATTCCTAAAAGCCCACCAAAGTGCCATTCAAGGTGCTCCATGCAAGGGTCAACTTGGGCCTTCCCTTCAGGTGTTTTGGACTCCAACTCCCACCATTCCTAACAGACTACCAAGGTGCCACTCAAGGTGCAAAGTCTGCACCACGCCTGGGCCATCTTGGGATTCCTTCCAGGTGTTTTGGACTCCAAATCCCACTATTCCTAACAGCCCACCATGGTGCCATTCAAGGTGCTCCATGCAAGGGTCAACTTGGGCCCTCCCTCCAGGTGTTTTGGACTCCAACTCCCACCATTCCTAACAGACTACCAAGGTGCCACTCAAGGTGCAAAGTCTGCACCACGCCTGGGCCATCTTGGGATTCCTTCCAGGTGTTTTGGACTCCAAATCCCACTATTCCTAACAGCCCACCATGGTGCCATTCAAGGTGCTCCATGCAAGGGTCAACTTGGGCCCTCCTTCCAGGTGTTTGGACTCCAACTCCCACAATTCCTAACAGTTTACCAAGGTGCCACTCAAGGTGCAAAGTCTGCACCACGCCTGGGCCAACTTGGGATTCCTTCCAGGTGTTTTGGACTCCAAATCCCAACATTCCTAACAGCCCACCAAGGTGCCATTCAAGGTGCTCCATGCAAGGGTCAACTCGGGCCCTCCCTCCAGGTGTTTTGGACTCCAACTCCCACCTTCCTTGCTTAGGCTGTTAGGAATGGTGGGAGTTGGAGTCCAAAACACCTGGAGGGAGGGCCCAAGTTGGCCCAGGTGTGGCGCAGACTCTGCTCCTTGAATGGCACCTTGCTGTGTCAAAGCTTTCTTGCAAGCCCTGGTCACTAGCAAGGCTTAGTCTATTCTTGGCCCACTAAGACGCGGCCCGTCTGAGCCTCAAAGAAGCCTGCCGTTAAGCCGCCGTCTGGCCCCCAAGGGCTAAGCCGGAGCCATGAAGCCCTGGTCAAGGAAAAGAAGGAAAGCTCCCAGGTGCATTGGCTGCAGAGGGACAAAGACAGCAAGGGTCAGCCAGGAAGAAAAGCCTCTCTATCAGCACGGCTTCTTTCACCTCTTCTTCATTCTACTAAATATCCTTTGACCAGTATCTGGCCACTTGGAGTGCCTCTGGTGTTGCCGCAAGAAGGTCCTCCATTGTGCATGTGGCATGGCTCAGGGTGCATTGCAGCAGGTGGTCAGTGGTTTGCTCTTCTCCACACTCGCATGTCGTGGATTCCACTTTGTAGCCCCATTTCTGAAGGTTGGCTCTGCATCTCGTGGTGCTAGAGCGCAGTCTGTCCAGTCACCCAGTCTTCTGTGTGCCCAGGAGGGAGTTTCTCATCTGATAGCAGCCATTGGTTGAGGTTCTGGGTTTGAGCCTGCCACTTTTGGACTCTCGCTTGCTGAGGTGCTTCAGCGAGTGTCTCTGTAGATCTTAGAAAACTATTTCTCGTTGGCATGCTTGCTCATATCCAAACAAACTACCATATGTGCGATTCACAGTTGACCACGTTGGGAAACAATGTAATTTCTCCAGTGGTGTAGGGCGGCATGGGCAAGAGTATGATAGCTGGGACCCAATACTGGTTGCGTGACGTGGGTCAGAATTAGAGAAGCGAAGCATAGAATCATAGAATCCTAGAGTTGGAAGAGACCTCTTGGGCCATCCAGTCCAACCCCATTCTGCCAAGAAGCAGGTGTATTGCATTCAAATCACCCCTGACAGATGGCCATCCAGCCTCTGTTTAAAAGCTTCCAATGAAGGAGCCTCCACTCCACTCTGGGGCAGAGAGTTCCACTGCTGAACAGCTCTCTCTCAGAGTCAGGAAGTTCTTCCTTATGTTCAGGTGGAATCTCCTCTCTTGTAGTTTGAAGCCATTGTTTTGTGTCCTAGTCTCCAGGAAAGCAGAAAGGAAGCCTGCTCCCTCCTCCCTGTGGCTTCCTCTCACATATTTATACATGGCTATCATATCTCCTCTCAGCCTTCTCTTCTTCAGGCTAAACATGCCCAGCTCCTTAAGCCGCTCCTCATAGGGCTTGTTCTCCAGACCCTTTATCATTTTAGTCGCCCTCCTCTGGACACATTCCAGCTTGTCAACATCTCTCTTGAATTGTGGTGCCCAGAATTGGACACAATATTTGAACGTGCTTGCATACAATATCCGGATAGCCTTTAGTTTGGTTCTGTTCCTTCGTTGGCGGAGTTCAGAATGTTCTTTGATCGTAGGCAAACGATTAATCCCAGCAACTACAACTCCCAAATAACAAAATCAATCCTTTCCCCCAATCCCACCAGTATTCAAATTTGGCCATATTGGGTATTTGTGCCAAATTTGGTCCAGTGAATGAAAATACATCCTGCATATCAGATATTTACATTACGATTCATGACAGTAGCAAAATTACAGTTGTGAAGTAGCAATGAAAATAATGTTATGGTTGGGGATCACCACAACATGAGGAACTTTTTTAAGGTGTCACGGCATTAGGAAGGTTGTTTTGCTTGCTTGCTTGCATGCTGCAGGTTGCTTCTGGTTGCTTCTGGGGTGAGAGAATCAGCCGTCTACAAAGACGTTGCCCAGGGGACACCTGGATGTCTTGCAATTTTGCGAGGAGGCTTCTCTCATGTCCACTGGAGAAATTACACTGCCTAGCCAGTATTGCACCACCTGACATCTGCTGGGAAGTAGCAGCCAATAGTGAAAGGACCAAGGCAGAGACATCTCCAGCTCATCCCCTGTTTGTGTATCAGCCAGCACGTCAATGACTTAAATCAAGACATAGTTTTCTAAGATCTACAGAGACACTCGCTGGAACACCTCAGCAAGCGAGAGTCCAAAAGTGGCAGGCTCAAACCCAGAACCTCAACCAATGGCTGATACCAAATGAGAGACTCCCCCCTGGGCACACAGAGGATGGGGCGACTTGGAAGGCGCTGAACAGACTGCACTCTGGCACCACGAGATGCAGAGCCAACCTTCAGAAATGGGGCCACAAAGTGGAGTCCACGACATGCGAGTGTGGAAAAGAGCAAGCCACTGACCACCTGCTGCAATGCAACCTGAGCCCCGCCACATGCACAAGGGAGGACCTTCTTATAGTAACACAAGAGGCACTCCAAGTGGCCAGATATACTGGTCAAAGGACATTTAATCAACTACCAAACTTTTGTATTTTGTCTGTTTGTTTGTTTTGTTCTGTTAGAAATGTAATAAAATTGACTGGTTGCCCTGACACGACAAATAAATAAATTAGGAAGGTGGAGAGCCACTTGTTTAGATCGAATCTCTTTCCCTGCAATCTGAACCCACTTCTCCGTGTCTTTTATTAACTCTTTTCTTCTTTCCTTCCCTCTTTCTCCCTCTCTTTCCTTCTAGATGGCTCTCAAAACAACTCGGCCTCCTCGACACCCAGCAGCGATGCCCGGACGCTGCTGCAAATCTCTCCGCCGCTGACGCCCGACTTCCAGCCCGACCTCCCCATGGACTCCTCCCTTCGTGGTCCAGGCGTCCCAGCCTTCCTCCCGGCGAAGCAAGAAGACCGCCCTCAGCCGGAAGGCGCCAGCTGCGATGCTACCATGGGAGCCGCAACGGCCGGCTTGGTAGCTCTGAGTGAATGCGGCCAAGTCATGATGGAGCAGGCGGCGAAGGCCGGCGAGGCGGTCTCCAAAGCACCCCCGTCAGAGGACACGCTGGACGCCAGGATCGTCATGGGGGAAGAGACGCAGTGCCTGGGCAAAGAGGAGGAGGAGGAGGAGGAAGATACGGAAGGCATGCCGGCTTCACCGAAATCCGGCGTCTTGGAGGAAGAGGAAACGAGCGAGGCGGAAGATGCAGCAAAACCTCTCCGCTTGAGCCACCCGCAAGCGTGCCTTCGGAAGCGCAAGGAGCCGGAGCTGGAATTGGCAGCGATTGCAATGCCGGCACCATCTTTGTTCTCTCAGGGCGACCCCATGGCTGACGTGCCTTCCCCTTCCTCCGTCTTCGCCAAAGACCTTCCATCGGAGCCGGGAGAGGGACAGCCCTCGCCGGTCAAGCGTGGCGTGGATCCGGAGCTCTACTTCACGGCTCCGTCCACTCCCATCCGGACGGCCTTCTCCCAACTCAGGCACCTGCCACCACCACAACAGAACCCGTTCTCCAAAGACGGCCTCGGCGAGGAGCAGAACGACTTGGACAACGAAGGCCTCGTCTCGCCGCCCACTTCGCCGTCGGGGTCCTACATCACGGCTGAAGGAGGGAGCTGGGCGTCTTCGGGCACGGCCAGCACCTCCCCGTCCTGCTCGCCAAACCTGATGGCCGAGGGGGAAACCCTGGAGTCGCCGGATTTGGAGAGCGAGGTGACGTTCCAGGCGCTGTCTCTGGGCGCTTTGGGCCACGATTCGTTTCCGGACGAAGACGAGGACGAGGGGCAGACGACTCCCGGAGAGGATGAAGACTGGGTCTCGGAAACTGTGACCTGCAGGCCGGTCCCTCACAAGCCGAACCAGACTGGCCGCTCCCGGCCAAAGAGCGGAGAAGATTCGGAAGAGGACGGAGCCGCTCTGGACGAAGCAGGCCACAAGATTTTCAAGATAGAAAACTTGCCTTCTCACCAAACTGCAGAGGTGTTTGCAGGATCCAAACCCAGCCCTTTGCCCTGTTCACTCGCTGCCTTCTCTGGGACTGAATTTGGTGGTGTGTCTGGAGTGAGCCCTTTGGTGGCCAACGTGGATGAATCTGAGACGGCGGCTTCCCCCCCTGACGACGAGATGGAGAATCCCGAAAACGACCCAATGATTTCTGCATTGTTGCTGCCTTTCCATGGCAGCCTCCTCTTCGAGGCGGAGTCCGTGGAGATCACGCTCTTCCCTCAGGGCGAATCAGCGGAGAACGACACCCTTTACGGCGCTGAGGATGAGGACAGCACTTCGGCCTCCTTCCTCCATTCCCTCTCGGAGGCCTCCATCAACGAAGGCGTGGACGAATCCTTTGCGTACCAGGACGACACCTCTCCGTCCTCCGACTCAGCCTCCTACAACGGAGAGGAGGATGAGCGCTTGTACAGCGTGGAACAGTACGCCGTGGTGGCGGAAGACGCCCAGAAAGACGACGGGTCTCCCAAGGGGGACCTGGAACCAGAACGGTCGCACTCAGGGAGCGAGAGCGAGATGGAGACCTCGTCCGACGCGTACAACACAGACGAGGAAGGAGACGTGCCTTCCGCAAAACACGAGGAGCATCCACAGGTCACAGAAGAGATGAAGGAAGGAGAGTCTTTCCTGGATGTACCCAAAGCAGAAGAGGCCACACAAGAGGGCTGGAAAAGTGGCCAAAGGTCTCCTGAAGAGGTTGTGGCCTCCATGATGGAAGCTACAATGCAGCAAGAGAGTGCTCAGAGTTCAAGAGGGGTCACTGTTTCTCCTGCTGGAGAAGGACGGGGGACTCCTCTGGAGCAAGGTCTTGGAGCTCTGAAACACCAGGTCAGAAGTGAAAGGGAGCGAGAGTCTCCTGGAGAGAAAGGTCCCTCTTCTTCATCTGTCTCAGATGGTCAAGTGACTGCGGAGAAAGACATCCATGACTCCGGAGAGTGCCTCATTGCCTGCTTCGATACGGACGAAGAAGCAGACGCAATGCCTCCTTTGGATGATCACTTAGCGGGTCCAATTGACGAAGAATGGGCAGGACCAATTTGTGCCGGAGTGGCTATCCCTCTGGGTTGGGATCCGAAGCCGTATCCGGTTGAGTCGGCTCAGGAGGCCAACGATGCATCTGCCGTTGACATTGGTGCCCGGTTGAAAGAGTCCGAGAAACGTTTGCTAGAACTCCTCGACCAAGACAGCGCCTCAGGAGGAGGCTCGGTGGACCTTGAGGGACGTGACGGAGGGACACAGGGCTCTGAGAAGGAGGTGGAGGTGGCTTCGTTCGTGTCCTTGCTTGAATCTTCGATGGAGCAGCCTGAAGTGGTCCGGGCGGACAGCGAGCCGACGGAGGAGTGCCTTATTGCTTGCTTTGAGTCCGAGGATGAGCTGGAGGAGTCCTCGTCTCTTGATCAGATGAACAACAACGGCGACCGCGAGGAAATAGCATTCGCTGAGGCCAAAGCAGGCCCCCAAACACTCATGGATCTCCATGATGACACGCAGGAGAGCCTGTTCATGGAGGCCAGAGAGTTCCCGGTGGAGGCCATGGTACTTCCGTCTCAGGAAACCCCGCTGCCCCAAACAGATGTGGAGGAACTCTCTGAATCCCAGAGCTGGACTGTGTGTGGGACACCGAGGGACTCAAGCCGTCCCAAAGCAGAGGCTGAGGAGGGACACCTCGCAAACAAAGAGACATCGCTAGGGGACACTCCACCCCCTGAGCCTCTCAAAGTGTGCATGGAGACCGGTGAGGCCAAAGAGGCTGATGTGGTTGAGAGTCACCACGTGAGGGAAATGGGCAGCCATGCTGAAGAAGAAGTAGTCATGGAAGAAACCACAGAGGATGAAGCAGGCCTATCAGATCAACTCCCTACTGATGATGCCCAACCAGAAGAAGCAACAAAGGTCCTGGAGAAGGAACAGCCTGTGCTGTCAGATGAAGGAGACGGGGACCAAAACTGGGAAACTCCCTCAGAGAAAGAAGAGGAGGCTTCAGAGTCTGGAAGTGAAGAACTCAGCAGGACAGATTCAGTGGCGGAAACCACCACTTGGTTGAGAGACCAACTGGGAAACGATGCTCCAGAGCTATTGAAATCAGGAACAGCCCAGGGAGACCAGAAGAAACCTAACCTGAGAGATGACAACATGAATGTGTTGCCGACACAGAGTAGAGAGGTTGCCATAAGTGAGACCAGCAGAGATCTGGGCTCCAGTGAAAAGATGGTGCCTAAAGAAGGTGAGCTGAAGGCACCGGCCAGGGCTGGTGAGGTGACTGGTGGAAAAGAAGTTACTGAATGGCCACATCTGCAAGGCACAGAAGTCCCAAAATCCCAGGCAGCCTCCAAAGATGCTGGGAAACCTTGCCACATGGCACACAGGGAACCACTTGCATCTCTGCCTTCTCTGGCTGGATCCTATCCTTCAGGCGCTAAAGCTCAGGGAGCCAGGCCTCCTCCTGCAGAAAAGGTAGAGGTCCCACCTTCTTTGGTCCATGCTGGTTGTCACCCTCCGGCACCCAAGAAGACTTTCGCTGAGGCTCTTCTTCAGGGTCTTCTGCCCGTTTTGGAGGCTGAGCTCAGCATGCAAGAAAAGGACTTTGATGTCTCCTTTCCTTCTGCTGAACAACCTGAGGCTTCCTCGTCCCAGTCTCTCACAGATTCCAGCTTCTTCACGGCAGATGAGGGAAGGTCTCCTGAGGCCATTCCCTTAGCTGCTTCTCCAGAGAGGGAAGACCTGCATTCGCCTGAGCAAATCTGGGGCAGCCCAGCCCAGGCCATGGAGGAAAGTTGTCTTCTGGAGGACCAGGCTGTGGCATTGGAACTGGAGAACGTGGTAGACAAGGCTGGAGATGCCATGGCTGGACATGTGGCTGTGCCACTGATGCGTTCTCCGACGGATGGCTCCTCGGCGCAGAACATGGCTGTCTGCTTGCACCATACCGCTCTGCGAGAGGCTCCCAGTTCAGCCATGTCACGTCACGCCAAGGCACAGAAGGCTGCCACAGCGGAAGTCAACACCAACGGCCAACAGCTCTTCTTTGCTTCTGAAGAAGAGATCTTTCTGACCGAGTCCATGGATGCTCAATGTGATCTTTCCAGTGGAAATGGAGACGAGGAGCATACCTTTGCTGGGGAGACCACAGTCGTTGACTTGGATGATTCGGGCACTGTTGCCGGAGAGAGTTCGCCAACTCCCATTAGCCCACTTGGATCGTCTGGTGCCTTTTTGGAGACCACTGGTGGAGCAGCAAAGTCTCCGGATGACATTACGGACCAGCAGGAGATATCTCATTTGTTGCAAGGCTCCTTTGGATTCCTGAAGGAGCAGAGAGTGGGGAGCCCTCGCCTCATGAGTAGCCAACTCGTGGCAGAAGCACAAAGCCTTCGCGGCAGCCTTAAGGAGATGATTGCGGAGAGTTCCTCTGGAGAACCCACACCCGATCTGTCAGAAGTGGAAGACTTTGAACCACCATATCAAGAGCAAGAGGACACCTGGCCTTGCAAGGATGCCAGAGGCAAAGAAGGCCACCTGGAAGCAGAGAGGCAAGAAACCAAGGAGGTTTCCATCCCTGAGGAGATGGCAGAGATGCCCATTAGCCAGGTGGTGATCTCCGGTTCAGAAGAGGAGGACCAACCTTCCCTAGACGATGCCTCCATCCCTGGCGAAGACGGGGCATCTGGGTCCTTCGATAGCATCCCATCTCAGCCAGATGAGATGTTGCTACAGAGACCAGAAGCCGATGTTGTGGTGCAAGAGAAGACCAAGGAGGTGACGGAAGAGACAAGATTGAGGGGCACCACAATGGCGGATGTGCACCCAAAGGTGGAGGGTGTTGAGGAGGAGGAGGAAGAGAAGGAAAGCGGAAGGGTCTCCACCTCTCAGCCTCCTCCATTGCCCATGGACTCCATCATCCCTCCATCACCCACTCCTCGTCCCTCTGAGGAACTCTCTGAGGAACCCTCTGAGGAACCCTCTGTATCTCCTTCATGGCCAGAACGACCGATATCCCCAGTCGTGGAGAAGATGCCCGCCTCACCCTCTCCTCCTCCTCCTCCTCTGGTTTCTCAAGAAGTGCCTCCCGTTCTGCCCTCACCACAGCTGCCCCCCTCTCCCCCAGAGACCCCCTCCCAAGCCCCTTCTGCTGCTGCTGCTGCTGCTACCTCCTGGCTCCCTGCGGAAGAGGACACCCCTTCCAAAGAGACCCGGCCCCTCCTGCAGGACCCCAGGAAACCTCTGGTGGAAGGTGAGCCTCCCTTTTCCTCATCTCTTTCTGAACTGTACTGCTCCAGAGAGGGTAGTTTTGTCCCCTGAGGGATCCCCAAGGTGCGGTGGTTCTCCAGATGAACTATTGCAAGTCCCAGCATCCCTCTCCATTGACTATGCTGGTTAGGGGAGGATGTTGCTGTAGGGATATTTGGTATCCAGAGCTCAGGTATGGGCCAACTTCAGCCCTTCCTCAGGTGTTTTGGACTTCAACTCCCACCATTCCCAACAGCCTCAGGTCCTCCAGGTGTTTTAGACTTCAACTCCCACCATTCCCAATGGCCTCAGGTCCTCCAGGTGTTTTGGAGTTCAACTCCCACCATTCCCAACAGCCCCAGGTGTTTTGAACTTCAACTCCCACCATTCCCAACAGCCTCAGGCACTCCAGGTGTTTTGGAGTTCAACTCCCACCATTCCCAACAGTCTCAGGCCCTCTAGGTGTTTTGGATTTCAACTCCCACCATTCCCAACAGCCTCAGGTCCTCCAGGTGTTTTAGACTTCAACTCCCACCATTCCCAATGGCCTCAGGCCCTCTAGGTGTTTTGGACTTCAACTCCCACCATTCCCAACAGCCTCAGGCCCTCTAGGTGTTTTGGACTTCAACTCCCACCATTCCCAACAGCCTCAGGCCCTCCAGGTGTTTTGGACTTCAACTCCCACCATTCCCAACAGCCTCAGGCCCTCCAGGTGTTTTAGACTTCAACTCCCACCATTCCCAACAGCCTCAGGCCCTCCAGGTGTTTTAGACTTCAACTCCCACCATTCCCAACAGCCTCAGGCCCTCCAGGTGTTTTAGACTTCAACTCCCACCATTCCCAACAGCCTCAGGCCCTCCAGGTGTTTTAGACTTCAACTCCCACCATTCCCAACAGCCTCAGGCCCTCCAGGTGTTTTAGACTTCAACTCCCACCATTCCCAACAGCCTCAGGCCCTCCAGGTGTTTTAGACTTCAACTCCCACCATTCCCAACAGCCTCAGGCCCTCCAGGTGTTTTAGACTTCAACTCCCACCATTCCCAACAGCCTCAGGCCCTCCAGGTGTTTTAGACTTCAACTCCCACCATTCCCAACAGCCTCAGGCCCTCCAGGTGTTTTAGACTTCAACTCCCACCATTCCCAGCAGCCTCAGGCCCTCCAGGTGTTTTAGACTTCAACTCCCACCATTCCCAACAGCCTCAGGCCCTCCAGGTGTTTTAGACTTCAACTCCCACCATTCCCAACAGCCTCAGGCCCTCCAGGTGGTTTGGACTTCAACCCCCACCATTCCCAACAGCCTCAGGCCCTCCAGGTGTTTTGGACTTCAACTCCCACCATTCCCAGCAGCCTCAGGCCCTCCAGGTGTTTTAGACTTCAACTCCCACCATTCCCAACAGCCTCAGGCCCTCCAGGTGGTTTGGACTTCAACCCCCACCATTCCCAACAGCCTCAGGCCCTTTCCTTTTCCCCCTCAGCCGCTTAAGGAAAAGGAAGGCACCCGAGGCTGTTAGGAATGGTGGGAGTTGAAGTCCAAAACACCTGGTTGGAGGGCAGAAGTTGGCCCATGCCTGGTGTAGACACAGCTTTGTTCTTTCTCAAAGTCAATGTGTTTACTGTTCATCACAAAGGTAGGCTGTTAGGAGTTATGGGAGTTGAAGTCCAAAACACCTGGACGGAGGACCAAAGTTTCCCCCATGCCTGTTCTGATCACTTTCCCTCCTCAGCTCCCGAGACGTCCAGACCTCTGCCCTCCAGGCTGGACCAGCCCTCGGCCGGCAAGGAGTCCAGGGGTCGGAACCGGCTGCCCGGTGGCAAGGAGCCCCGCGGGAAGGACTCTGCGGCCTCCTCCTCCTCAGCAGGGGACAAGCGGGCTGACCGGGAGTCCTTCCAGCTGGACCTGAGCTCCTCCAGCGAGAGGGAGATGTCCTACCGCTGTCCTGAGATCGAGAGCTTGCGGGAAGCAACAGGCGCCATGCTCTTGGACGAGAAGAAGCCTTTGGTGGGGAGGAGGCCTCAGGAGAACCACCACCACAAAGGTCAGGGCGGGTGATGCTGCCTCTCCTGCTTTATCGGCATCCACACTGCAGAATTAATGCAGCTTGGCACCACTTTTAACTGCTATGGCTCAATGCTATGGAATCCTGGGATTTGTTGTGCCTTTTCACAACTCGCCTCCCTTTCCTTTTGCAGGGTCTTCGAACGACTCGGAAAGCAACGAAGGCTCCATCCCGGAACTAGAAGAGCCGGAGGTTTCGGAACCACGAACGGCTCAGATGCAGGTAACGCCCTCAAGGCTGGTATTTCAGAGTTGGATCTGGGTACTTACTTACTTAGGCGATCCCTCGTTGTCCGAATAGGATAATCCTCCAGGGTGGGTCCGTAGGTGACTGTGGAGCCCTATTCTTGACCTGCATCTTCTCCCACAGGGAGGGCATCGGTTTCCAGGTGGAAGGCGGTCCCGGTTGGGGTTGGCTTGACATGCCCTCCTCTTGGCACGTTTCTCTCTTTCGCCCTCAGTTCATGCCTCTTCAAATTCTGCAGCACTGCTGGTCACAGCTGACCTCCAGCTGGAGTGCTCACAAGCCAGGGCTTCCCAGTTCTCAGTGTCTATGCCAGAGTTTTTAAGGTTGGCTTTGAGCCCATCTTTCAATCTCTTTTCCTGTCCTCCATCATTCACGTTTCTGTTCTTGAGTTCGGAGTAGAGCAACTGCTTTGGGAGACGGTGGTCGGGCATCTGGACAACGTGAGTTGATGGCGGAGGATCATCACTTCAATGCTGGTGGTCTTTGCCTCTTCAGCACGCTGACGTTTGTCCGCCTGTCGTTCCAAGAGATTTGCAGGATTTTCCAAAGGAATTGTTCCAGGAGTTGCATGTGATGTCTGTAGACAGTCCACGTCTCGCAGGATAGAGCAGGATTGGGAGGACAATAGCTTTATAAACAAGCACCTTGGTATCCCTACGGATGTCCAAGTCCTCAAACACTCTCTGCTTCATTCGGAAAAATGCTGCACTCGCAGAGATCAGGCGGTGTTGTATTTCAGTGTCAGTGTTGATGTCTGTAGACAGTCCACATTTCGCAGGCGTATAGCAGGGTTGGGAGGACAATAGCTTTATAAACAAGCACCTTCGTATGCCTACAGGTGTCCCAGTCCTCAAACACTCTCTGCTTCATTTGGAAAAATGCTGCACTCACAGAGCTCAGGCGGTGTATTTCAGTGTCAATGTTGATGGCTGTAGATAGTCCACGTCTCGCAGGCGTATAGCAGGGTTGGGGGGACAATAGCTTTATAAACAAGCCCCTTGGTCTCCGTACGGATGTCCCAGTCCTCAAACACTCTCTGCTTCATTTGGAAAAATGCTGCACTCGCAGAGCTCAGGCAGTGTTGTATTTTGGTGTCGATGTTGACTTTTGTGGAGAGGTGGCTGCCAAGGGAGTGGAAATGGTCCACATTTTCTGACGTTACACCATTAAGTTGTATTTCTGGCATTGGAGAGGGGTTGGCTGGTGACTGCTGGAAGAGGACTTTGGTTTTCTCGATGTTCAATGACAGGCCGAGCTTCTCGTATGCTTCTGTGAAGGTGTTTAGAGTGGCTTGTAGGTCTTCTTCTGAATGCACACAGAATTCAAAAGAAGGTGGACCTTTCCAAAGAGTAAAGCCAATTCCTGGCTTGCTATGAATGTCCTTCAAGGGCCCCTTTTGCACCTTCCAGGCTCAGCTGACCCACTCCTTGGGAACCGGCGAAGAATCCATCAGCAAAGCAAAGCAGAGCCGGAGCGAGAAGAAGGCACGGAAGGTGAGTTCTAAAATGGGTACATAGCCAGACATCTTCCACCCTTTTGCTTGCTTCCAGAGTGCATCAACACTTGAGTTAATGCAGGTTGACAGAGCTCAAGGCGATGGAATGCTGGCTTTCGTGTTGTCGTGAATCACCAGCACTCTTGTGCAGAGAAGGCTAAAGACCTTGTGGAACGACAGCTTCCATGAGCTGTGGAATTCACCATAAGTTCTCACAAGAGGGCCTCCTCTTCTCTCCTCTCCTCTCCTCTCCTCTCCTCTCCTCCTCTCTTCCAGGCCATGTCCAAACTGGGTCTGCGACAAATCCATGGAGTCACCAGGATCACCATCCGCAAGTCCAAGAACATCTTGTTTGTCATCACCAAGCCGGACGTCTTCAAAAGCCCGGCGTCAGACATCTACATTGTCTTTGGAGAAGCCAAGGTGAGCTGGTGGAGTCTTCTCATGGGGAGACAACCAGATGGGCCTCAAAGACCTTTGGTTCGGGGGAACATGCACATGGGGGCACATACTTGTGTTAATTCCCCACTCTGCTTACACTATCTTGTGCATGGAATATGGTGGGGGTTGTCATTCCATCCCTCCATACTTCCCCAAGACGTTCTATGGGGATGTGGGCCTTGGAGTGTATCCTCAATGGTCCAACCAGTATTGATGCTGGTTGGACTTTTGAGTTGTTGACAGATTTGCTTTGGAATAGATGTTGGAAGGGATTCTTGTGTCTTATGACACGATCACCCTCTGTGCAAAGCCCTTCTGCTCTTCTAGAGATGCTCACCTCCATGGGTCTTCTCTACTGACCCCTTTTTTCTCTTCCCCAGATTGAAGACCTCTCTCAGCAGGTCCACAAAGCGGCAGCGGAGAAGTTCAAGGTCCCCGTGGAGCATTCGCCTCTGATCACGGAGGCAGCCCCAGCGCTCACCATCAAGGAGGAGAGCGAGGAGGAGGAGGAGGTAAGGTCTTCCCCCAAAGAAGGAAGCCCAGGCCTTTCAAGCACCCTGGAGAGGAAATACAGGGTGCCATTTCCCTCTCCTTCCTTGTGTCTTCCGGTTTTCCTTCCTTGTGTCTTCCCTCCTCCTCTATTCCTGTTTTATTATTGTCTCTCTTCTTGGTTCTTCCTCCTCCTTCCTTGATCTTTCTCTTCATCCACTTGACTTCTGCTTCTCTTCCTGCTTCCTCCTCCTCGTCCTTCTTCCTTGTTTCATGTTCTTCTTTCCTTCTCTTCTTCCTTCCTTCACCTTCTGCTTCTCCTTTCTCCCTTGTTCCTCGTTTTCCCCCTCCTTCCTTGTTTCTCTTATTCATCCACTGATTTCAAATTCTCTCTTTTTCTTCTTCTTTGCTTGTTTCTCCTGCTCTTCTGCTGGGTTCTTCCTCCTTGATTTGCCTACTCAACTTCCTAGTTTCTACTTTCTCTTCGTCTTTTTTGTTCTCGCCTCCTCTCTTACTTATTCCTCCAATTTGTCATCTTTTGCTTGTTCCTCCTCCTCAAACCATTTCTTTTCTAGTCTTATTCTTTCCCTTGTTTCCTCTGCTCTTCTGCCTTTCTTCCTTGTTCCTCCTCTTCCTCCTTCCTGTCCTTGTCATCCTTTCTTGTCTTTTCTCTTTTGTCCATTCCCTTTCTCCTTGTTTCCTCTCCTCCTTTCTTCCTTGTTCCTCTTCTTCCTTTCCTCGCCTTCCTTGTTGTCATTTGTCCATTCCCTTTCTCGTTTCTTGTCTTCTCTTCTGTTTTCTCTGCTCCTCATCCATTCTTATTCCTCCACCTTGTTTCCTATTGTCATCATTTCTTGTATCCATCCCATCCCTTCTGTTTTTTCCTTGCCTCCCCTCCTTCCTTCTCTTTCATCCAATGTGTTCATTCTCTTCCTACATTTCCTCTATTCTTCATCCTTTCATTTTTCCTTGTTCTAATTTCTTGTCTCCCCTGTACTGTTTCCTTCTCTTCCCTGTCCAACTTATTCCTTCACCTCTAGTTTCTTCTTCCCCCTGCCTTCCTTGTTCCTTTGCTTTCTTGTTTCTTCTTCTCCTGCTCCTCTTGCCTTCCTTGTTCTTTCAATTTTCTCATTCATTCTTCTCCCCCTCCTTCTCTTTCTCTTCCTCCTTCCATTTCTTCTCCACCATCCTTTCATTCCTTCTCCCCTTCCTTCCTCGTCCCTTCATCTTCTCCTCCTCATTCCTTCACCACCACCACCACCACCTCCACCTCCTTTCCAAAGGTTATACTGGCCCATAATAGAAAGTTCTGGCTGAGTTGCTACAAAGTAAGACGAATATTAGGACAATTCCACTCATAGATCCCTTGTCTTCATCCACTTCTTTCCTCCTCTTTTCTTCCAGATTGACGAGACTGGCCTGGAGGTGAGAGATATTGAGCTGGTCATGGCTCAGGCGAACGTGTCGCGCCCCAAGGCCGTGAGGGCCCTCCGGCACAGCAACAATGATATTGTGAACGCCATCATGGTGAGTCCTGTGCCGTAAGACCCTTTGGGGGCAATGGGAGGGTTGTGTGATGGGGCAATTGAACAGAGGAACTCCTCCTACTTTGATGCCACCAAGGAGAGGGCATCTCAACCCAAGTTCTGGTGATGGGATGGACAAAGGGATGGATATGGTCCCCATGCAGTCATCCAGGCGCATATATATGTATGTAATGCGTCTTCCAGAGGTTCATGCCAGCTTGGCCAATGGCTAGGGATGTCAAAGCTGAAGTCCTTGGAGAACCAACGTAGGAGAACCTAGAAGATCTTCACTTCTGGGCACAGGAACTCTTTAGACCAATGACTCACAAATTCTGGTCCTCCAGGAAGTTTGGGCTCCATCTCCCAGGATCTCTGACCATTGGCCAAAGTAGGAACGGAAGTCCAAAACTCCTGGAGGACCAAGATTGGAGGATGGGCTTTTTCTTCCCTTTGGCCCCCCTGACCTGTCTTCCTTCCTTGCAGGAGCTGACCATGTAGCGACGGTTGGAGGGCTTCCCCACCACCCAGCCTCTGCCCGCTCCTCCTGTATAGACGCCCCGTTGCCCATCTCCAATACAGCTGTTGTTATGTTAGGATGGCCAATACTTAGTCCCAACTCTTCTGCATTGATAATGCTGCTCAATAAACGGTATATTCACTTGAACCACAGTCTGGCGCCAGAGTCTTCTGTTTGGGGAACGTGGGTTGGATGGTTCTTATGCAGTTTCACCTTGTAAGGAAGGGAGGGGATTGTCACCACACTTCCACCCCAAATAGAAGCCCTTGATAAGTAGGAGGACCCTGATTCCAAGGATTTGGAAGTTCTTCCCAGGCAAAGAGTACTAAGGGTAGCGAGGAGAGTTGTCCAACCTTTCCATTACCAATTCTAGGTAGGAACGTGTCAACAGCTGCATTGGTTACCAATTGATCACTTTCAAAGTGATGGTACTCACCTTGAAGGCCTTGCATGGTCTGGGGCATTTGACACAGTCGACCACAATCTTTTGACCCACCGCCTTGCTGTTGCTGGAATCAGGGGGAGAGCTTTGAATTGGCTGTCCTCCTTTCTTTATAACCGTGGACAGCGAGTGGAGAGGGGAGGCCTGGTCTCTGAGAGGTCCCCTCTATCTCATGGGGTTCCTCAGGGGGCCATTCTCTCCCTTCTGTTGTTTAACATCTATATGCGACCACTTGCTCAGCTGGTTCAAGGTTTTGGAGTGTTACCAGTATGCTGATGACACTCAGCTGGTCCTGAAGATGGAAGGCCGACCGGACTCTGTACCCGATTGTTTCCATCAGTGCCTCGAGGCCGTGACTGGATGGCTGCGTGCCAGCAGGTTGAGGGTGAATCCAGCAAAGACGGAGATCCTATGGCTGGGTGGACCGGGCAGTGGGGACATCCATCTGCCCACCCTGGATGGCGAGGCGTTACGCCCGTCATCATTGGTAAAGAGTCTGGGTGAATAACCATGTCTTTAGGCTCTTACGGAATGACATAAGGGAGGGCGCCTGTCTGATGGGTGTTCCACAGTCGGGGGGCCACCACCGAGAAGGCCCTTCTCTCGTCCCCGCCAGACGTGCCTGTGAGGCAGGCGGGATTGAGAGAAGGGCCTCCCCAGACGATCTCAAGGTCCTCGTGGGCTCATAGGCCGAGATGCCGAAAGGTATTTTGGGCCGGAACCGTTTAGGGCTTTGTAGGATAACACCAGCACCTTAAATTGGGCCCGGTAGCAGATCGGCAGCCAGTGGAGCTGGGACAACAAGGGCGTTGTATGCTCCCTGCGTCCCGCTCCCGTTAGTAACATGGCTGCCGTGCGCTGGACTAGCTGAAGCTTCCGGGCCGTCTTCAAGGGCAGCCCCACGTAGAGAGCGTTGCAGTAGTCAAGGCGGGATGTGACCAGAGCGTGTACCACCGTGATGCGGTCCGAAAGGTATTTTGGGCCGGAACCGTTTAGGGCTTTGTAGGATAACCAGCACCTTGAATTGGGTCCGGTAGCAAATCGGCAGCCAGTGGAGCTGGGACAACAAGGGCGTTGTGTGCTCCCTGCTACCCGCTCCCGTTAGTAACATGGCTGCCGCGCTGAACCAGCTGAAGCTTCCGGGCCGTCTTCAAGGGCAGCCCCACGTAGAGAGCGTTGCAGTAGTCAAGGCGGGATGTGACCAGAGCGTGTACCACCGTGGCCAAGTCAGACTTCCCAAGGTACGGGCGCAGTATATAAAACTCAAAGTATGTATGTATGATGATGGTTGGTTGGTAGGTTTCTACCACAAAGGTTTCTCCATGGCTTGATGGATCTGGACTAAACTTGGCCCACAGATTTGTCATTAAAATAATTGAGAGGTTTGAGCTAAAGGATGGGCACCCCATTTGTACCCAGAAGAGAAGATTGAAGTAGATTGGCTGTGGCTGGGCGAAGTGGCCCTCTGTCATGCGACTGGGAAAGGAATGGAGGAGCAAGGAGGAAAGAAATAGAAAAAGAAGGGAAAGAAAGGAAGAGAGAGGGAGAAGGAAGGAAAAGAAGAAGGACAAGAAGGAAGGAAGGAAAGGTTGCTTACCTGTAACTATCGAGTGGTGATCTGTGAAATTTGCACATCCCGGCTGTTGTCATGTTTTGGTCCTTCAAGCTGCTACTCATGGCAGAGAAACTGAGGCAGTAGCCCTTCTCACTGGCTATATCCTATACAAGCCGTCCCCTGCCATGCGTTGCTATGGCTCAGTCTGTGTAGATGTGTTTTGTGTGTAAATGTGCGTGTATATATTTGTGTATCTGTGTGTTTATTTTATTTATTTATTTAGGACATTTATATGCCGCCCTACTCACCCCGGAGGGGAATCCGAGCGGCTTTCACGATATATATACATGCAATATATTATATTAGCATATATTATATATAAATGTGGTTTTACACATGTGTAATTTTTGTTTTTTGGCTTTTAAAGTCTTTTCTGCTGTGTTTTCCAGCGTTTTTATGAGTGACTAGCCGTCCCCTGCCACGCATTGCTGTGGCCCACATGGGGATTCTGTCTGGGAGGTTTGGCCCAATTCCATCACTGATGGGGTTCGGAATGCTCTGTGATTGTAGGTGAACTACAAATCCCAGCAACTACAACTCCCAAGTGTCAAGATTCTATTTTCCCCAAACTCCACCAGTGTTCACATTTGGGCATATTTAGTATTTGTGTAGAGTTTGGTCCAGATCCATCATTGTTTGAGACGACAGTGCTCTGTAGCTGTAGGTGAACTACAACTCCCAAAACTTAAGGTCAATGCCCACCAAAGCATTCCAGTATTTTCTGTTGGTCCTGGGTGAACTGTGTGCCAAGTTTGGTTCAATTCCATCGTTGGTGGGTTCAGAATGCTCTTTGATTGTAGGTGAACTATAAATCCCAGCAACTACAACTCCCAAATGACAAAATCAATTTTTTTTTAGTGAAGGACATACATTGGGTTGTTAGATGTCTTGTGTCCAAATTTGGTGTCAATTCGTCCAGTGGTTTTTGAGTTCTGTTAATCCCACAAATGAACATTACATTTTTATTTATACAGAAGATGAGGAATGTGGGCAGGGCTCCCGCCATTTTGTATCAAAGAGCTTTCTAGAAGATTCTAAAACTGATTGCGCAGGCGTAAGAAATACCATATGTGCGATTTCACAGACACCACAAAGAAGAACTCCAGCAAAGGATCACCGCCTTGTCGGGGCGCTGGAGCTTGAGCACCTCAATGATGTCATGAGCGAAACCGTGAAGGGCCACCCAAGACGGGACGGTTGTGGCAGAGAGGTCAGACCAAGCGTGATCCCTGGGGAAGGCAATGGCAAACCACTCCAGTATCCTTGCCAAGAAAATAAATGGACCAGTACAACCAGAGATATGTCGGTATGCCATTGGAAGATGGGACTCCCAGGTCGGAAGATGGCCAAAATGCTACTGGGGAGGAGCAGAGGATAAGTTCAACTAGCCCCAGAATGTGATGATACAGCTAGCTCAAACCCGAAAGGAAGGCTAGTGGCCGACGGTACTGGAGGTGAACGACGAATCCGATGCTCTAAAGATCAACACACCATAGGAACCTGGAATGTAAGATCTATGAGCCAGGGCAAATTGGATGTTGTTATTGGTGAGATGTCAAGACAAAAGATAGACATTCTGGGGGTCAGCGAACTGAAATGGACTGGAATGGGCCACTTCACATCAGATGACCACCAGATCTACTACTGCGGACAAGAGGAACATCGAAGAAATGGAGTAGCCTTCATAATTAATAAGAAATTCGCTAAAGCGGTGCTTGGATACAACCCAAAAAATGACAGAATGATCTCAATTCGAGTGCAAGGAAAGCCTTTCAACATTACAGTGATCCAAATATACGCCCCAACCACAGCTGCTGAAGAAGCAGAAGTAGATCAGTTCTATGAGGATCTGCAGGACCTGCTGGATAATACACCAAAAAGAGACATTATTTTCACTACAGGAGACTGGAATGCCAAGGTGGGAAGTCAAATGACAACTGGGATCACAGGCAAGCATGGTCTGGGAGAACAAAATGAAGCGGGACGCAGGCTGATAGAATTTTGCCAGGAAAACTCGCTGTGTATAACGAATACTCTCTTCCAACAACCTAAAAGACGGCTTTATACATGGACCTCTCCAGACGGTCAACACCGAAATCAGATTGACTACATCCTTTGCAGCCAAAGGTGGCGGACATCCATCCAGTCGGTGAAAACAAGACCTGGGGCTGACTGTAGCTCAGATCACGAACTTCTTATTGCCAAATTTAGAATAAAACTAAAGAGATCAGGGAAAATACACAGACCAGTTAGATATGATCTCACTAACATTCCTAGCGAATATACAGTGGAAGTGAAGAACAGATTTGAAGGACTAGATTTAGTAAACAGAGTCCCAGAAGAACTATGGACAGAAGTCCGAGACATTGTTCAGGAGGCGGAAACAAAGTACGTCCCAAAGAAAAAGAAAACCAAGAAGGCAAAATGGTTGTCTGCTGAGACACTGGAAGTAGCCCAAGAAAGGAGGAAAGCAAAAGGAAACAGTGAAAAGGGGAGATATGCCCAGTTAAATGCGCAATTCCAGAGGTTAGCCAGAAGAGATAAGGAACTATTTTTAAATAAGCAATGCATGGAAGTGGAGGAAGACAACAGAATAGGAAGGACAAGAGACTCTTCCAGAAAATTAGAAACATTGGAGGTAAATTTCAGGCAAAAATTGGTATGATAAGAAACAAAGATGGCAGGGACCTAACAGAAGCTGAAGAGATCAAGAGAAGGTGGCGAGACTATACAGAAGATCTGTATAGGAAGGATAATAATATTGAGGATAGTTTTGACGGTGTGGTGAAGGAATTAGAACCAGACATCCTGAGGAGTGAGGTTGAATGGGCCTTAAGAAGCATTGCTAACAACAAGGCAGCAGGAGACGACGGGATCCCAGCTGAACTGTTTAAAATCTTAAAAGATGATGCTGTCAAGGTGATGCATGCCATTTGCCAGCAAATATGGAAAACACAAGAATGGCCATCAGACTGGAAAAAATCAACTTATATCCCCATACCAAAAAAGGGAAATGCGAAAGACTGCTCAAACTTCCGTACAATGGCCCTTATTTCTCATGCCAGTAAGGTAATGCTCAAGATCCTGCAAGGAAG